AAATTTGATGGAAATTTCTGATTCTATCGCCATATGGATGATGGTTTCATGTATATGGTCATTAGTAAATATTCACTCACTGGAAAATTTTTCTGTGTATTACATTTCAATAAAACTTTAAAGGTAAAAAAAACAAGTTAACTAAAAGTGGAAAATGAATGCAATTACATGTCTTTTCAATATTTTAAATCTTTTTATTTAAAGATTTATCCATTTATGCATACAAGACCTGGGGCACAGGCCAGGGGTGCAGGGGGTGAGAGGATTCAGCAGAGACAGAGTAGGGAACAGAACAGGCAGACTGACTGAAACACAATGCTGAGGGGAGTAGTGGGTGAGACAGGAGAGGTCTGCTGCGCCATGTATGCCGCTCCCCACGTAGCTGGCCGGGGATCGAACTCATGCTTCAGAAGCTGCAGACAGCCCCATAGTGCTGCTACCAACCCCTTGCGCCACCAGGGAGGTCCGAGATTTTCATTCTTATGGTATTAAAGTAGAGAACATCCACGTTGCTGCAAATGGCATGAGTTTATCTTTTTGGATTGCTGAATAATATTCCATTTTGTATATATACCACATCTTCTTGATTCAGTCATCTATTTTTGGATATTTGGGTTGTTTCCAGGTTTTACCTATTGTAAATAGTACTGCAATAAACATAGGGTACACCTGGTCTTTTGAATCAATGTTTTTGTGTCCTTTGGGTAGATCCCTAGGAGTGGAATTGCTGAGTCATATGGTAGCTCCATTTTTAGTAGACTGAGGAAGCTCCAGACAGTTTTCCATAGTGGTTGGACCAGTTTGCACTCCCAACAGCAATGTAAGAGAGTTCCTTTTTCACCACATCCTAACCAACATTTGTTGTTGCTTGTTTTTTGTTTTGTTTTGTTTTGTTTAGTTTGGTTTGCTTTTTTTTATATATATGCCATTCTTACTAGTGTAAGGCAGTATCTTAGTGTGGTTTTGATTTGCATTTCCCTGATGATAAGGGATGTTGAACATTTTTTCATATGCCTGTTGGCCATTTGCATTTCCTCTTTGGAGAAATGCCTTTTAAATTCTTCTGCCCATTTCTTGACTGGATTGTTTATTTTGTTTTTGTTGAGTAGTGTGAGTTCTTTGTATATCTTTGCGATCAGTCCCTTGTCAACATGTATGGAGCTAGAAGGAATTATGCTCAGCGAAGTAAGCCAGAAGGAAAAAGAAAAATATCGGATCATTTCACTTATAGCAGGAATATAGGCAAACCAAATAAGACATCAGTGTAAAAAAATAATAACAGTATAGGGCCTCCCTAGTGGCACAAGTGGTTAAGCAGTGCACTATGAAGCAATCCGCAGCCTCTGCAGCACAAGTTCGATCCCTGGCCAGCCAGGGAGAAACCCACATGGCAAGGCAGACCTCTTCCGTCTTGCCTGCTGCCCCCCTCAGCACAGTATTTCAGTCTGCCTGTTTTGTTCCCCACTCTGTCAATGGTGGATCCTCTCACCCCTGGCATCTCTAGCCTGTATTCCAGCTCTTATATGCATAAATCATAAATCTTAAAAATAATAATAACAGTATAAAACACAACAAAGCAAAAACAGAAAATTATACATCAGAGACATACTGCAGGGGAGGAGGTGGGAGAGGGATCAGAGGGAGGGAGAGAGGAGCACAGGGGACTGAGGTGATGGTGCACGGTTGCATTGGGGAAGGAAACTCTATGGGGACTACACCTGAGGGGGTAGGGGAAGAAAATATCGTTTAAAAATGATCAGTGATGTAAAAAAATTAAAAAACTAATTAACAAAAAAAGAAATGAAAAAATAAAGAACAAATATAAGTTAAATCTCATTAATAGAAATGAAACTATGGTATAAAGAAAATGGGTTAATTTGGGTTAATTCAGTCTCATTTTTGCCTTCCAAACAACAGATCCTCGAAATGTATCAATTATGTTTTCCACCTTTTGGTCTTCCAGCAAACAACAGATGGCTGGCAATTTTGAAAGTGCCTTGCATGTGCAACAATGTATCAGCTATGTGACAATAGGTACATAACAGTATAAAGGGGGATAGGAGGCTCAGTTGCTATTCAGTCTTTCCATCTTTTTCTTCCTAGGAGCTGGCCTTCCTGCCTATCTGCTGTTTCCCTGTTTCAGCATTAAAGGCATGTCAGATATACCTAAGCCTCCAAAATTCTTTTCCTAGTTTGGCCAAATTAACAGTGAACCTTCCTGGCCTGGGATAGTTGCAAACACATGACATTAAGGACACAGTTTATTATAAAGTCATAAATACGAAATTAAACACCTAATCATCATCTATTTATCTTTATAAAACATATGTGTGCGGGCCTCCCCTGGTGGCGCAGCAATGGAGCGCTGGGCTGCAAAGTTGTCCGCAGCCTCTGCAGCGCTGGTTCGATCCACGGCCACCAGCGAGGGTCCCACATGGCGCGACAGACCTCTCCTGTCGCCCCCACTGCTCCCCTCGCAATGCATTTTGTCACTCTGCCTGTTCAGTTCCCCGCTCTGGCTCTGGTGAATTCTCTCACCCTCCCTCGCTTCTGACTATACCCAGTGCTTGTATAAATAAATAAATAAATCTTTAAAAATAAATAAATAAATAAAACATATATGTGTGTCCATACATATACATATATAATGCTGTATAATTTACTTTGATATTTGCTTTCCCATTAAGTATGAAGCAATATAAATTATTTTCTTTCACAGAATCAATTAAAAGAAAGCTTTACATTTATTAACAATTTTCCACTTTTACTCTCCACATTGACTGGTTGATTAAAGCTATACTCAAGTTTACAGGCTTGTCTAACTTGCATTATGGCATCCAAAGTTCAAAGTTTACCTACATTTATTCAATTTTTTTATTATGAGATAACCAGATAAAATAAGTGATTATCATTTAGAAAAGAAATAATACATCTTGGAAATCTGTTATGGGTTGCTTAGATTCAAAGCCTTTTGCCCACACTACTTTTTCCTGTTAGCATTGAATTTTTAGTATTTCTTAAGAAATGGTGCTTAAACATAGTATAAAAACTGAAAATATTTTCCAGGGGATAAAGAAATCTACATATAAATAATAAACATATTATGTAAATTTTATTTTAAAGATAATATTTTATCAGAAAAGCAGTTCACATTTGCAGACCTATATCTAATTTTCTGAGATTTACTTGCTTTTGGTTAGTTTCATTTTTTCTTTTAATGTATGTGGACTATCAATGTGATTTATTCATATGAAATATTGGCATTTATATTTAAATAATTAGTGATCAAAAACATTGAATATCTGTGAGTTGTTCTAAAATAGGTATTAAATTATAGCTAGCAATTGTTTTGTAAGTGTAGTGGCAGGATGGGACGGAGCAGGTTTTCAGTGATCTGGCAGACAGGGTAAAGGAGGAGTTGTGGAGTCCTGTGTGGCTTTCTCAGGCTTTTATTGAGCTTTTACATGTAGCACAGCAACCACGTACACGGTAGGCAGGGGTGCAGGGTGGGGGGGGCAGGAGGCTGGCAGGTCTCCAAGCCCCTACCAGGTCTTCACTCCAGGCTTCTCTGGCCTTCTTTCTCCCCTTCGCTGTCCTGCCTCTTCTTCTGTCCCTGTCTTTCTTGTTGACTATCTAAATACTTCTCCCATGGCCCACAGAAGTAAATAAGACAGCTTACAACAATGTAACAACTGCAGGTGCCCCATCAGGCAGGGCAATCCTAATGGTGGGAGGGCAGAAAAGCCTGAAAACAACTTATCCCATAGTAAGTTAATAAAAAATCAGGAAAAAAGATCGAATCTGTTGGAGAAAGAGTACCTAAAATTATAGATAGAAGGATTCAGAATAGTTAGAAAATTGCTAGTACTTTCATAAAATGATCACAATAAGAAAAGTATGTAGACATCCGATCACACATACACACAAATGCATATACATAATTACAAATGTTCAAATACAATTCCTGAATGTTGCAGAGATTTTGAATATTACAGATAATCCATATTTTCATTTCCTTCATCAACCTAGAAAAAGACTTGTGTTTTCTAAATTGAGTTCTGAGCCTTTACTTTTGTAAATTATCTGTTGCCATCTGGTTTCCTAACTGTAGGTTTCATTAAGACAGAGATATTTTTTAAAAATCAATATCAACAAAGCCTAGTGATGTTATGATGGAAAAGGGAAACTCATCCACTGTTGTTGGGAATGCAAATTGGTTCAGCCTCTTTGGCAAATGACTTGGTAATTTCTTAACATAAAAATGAAATTTCCATATGATCAAGCAATTCCTGTAATATTCATTTATCCTAAAATATTAAAATTCTAATTTGAAAAGTTTTGATAGGCCTATGTGCATTGCATAGCAGCACTGCCCACGCCTGTCAAATCATAAAACAAAACTAAGTGTCCTTCAACAAACTAATGTCTAAAGAAATTGTGGAATATAGATTCAATGGAATACTACACAGCTGCAAAAAGGATGAAATTGTGGCTTTTGTGACGAAAGGGATTAACCTTGAGGTGATCATGTAAATTGAAGTAAGTGTGTAAGTTAATTATAGATATCAATGGTTTCACTCATCTGTGGAATATAAATAAAAAGATACACAGGCAAGGTACAATACTAATAAATCTCAAAGTTAGGAAAGAATTTAATGGTTACCAGCGGGAGCAGCAAGAAGGGAGCAAGTGATGGGAAAGAAGGTAAAGAGGATTTTGGAGTGCCTCCCTGGTGGCACAAGTGGTTAAGAAGCAACCTACGAAGCTATCTGCAGCCACTGCAGCACAAGTTCGATCCCCAGCCAGGGAGCTACCTACATGGCACAGCAGATATCTCCTGACTCACCCACTGCTCCCCTCAGCAGTGTATTTCAGTCGATCTGCCTGTTCTGTTCCCCACTCTGTCTCTGGTGAATCCTCTCACCCCTACATCTCTGGCCTGTACCCCACTTCTTTTATGTATAAATGAATAAATCTTAAAAAAAAAAAAGGATTTTGGCATGGGTGGTTTGGTGGAAGGTGAGTAGAACTTATATGACACATGAGGCCTCCCCGGGTGGCCTCCCCTGGTGGCAGAGCAGTTGAGCGCAGTGCTGTAAAGCTGTCTGCAGCCCCTGCAACGCACATTCGATCCCAGCCAGCCGGCAACGGTCCCACATGGCGCAGAAGACCTGTCCTGTCACGCCCACTGCTCCCCTCAGCAGTGTATTTCATCAGTCTGCCTGTTCTGTTCCCTGCTCTGTCTCTGGTGAATCCTCTCATCCTCCCGCGCATCTGGCCTGTACCTCAGTTCTTCTATAAATAAATAAAAGCTTTAAAAAATAATATATATATATGGCACATGGAAGAGCAAAAATGCAAACTTAAAACTTTTTTAAAAAAGACAAATATGTAAGTTTGAAATATTCATTTCATATGGTAGAAGTTTAGTAATATTTACTGCATAAAATAAATAATCAAAATTGACCCAAAATAATTGTGAGTCCGCTAGTAAGAAAATAATTTATAATATACTAAAAAGAGAAATATAGTCAAGTGCAATAAAAATAGGTATTTTTGGTTATGAAAGGCTTTGTTTATTAATCTTAATCCACACATTATGTACAATTATAACAAGCATTAATTCAGATATCGATATTGGCAGTGGTTAATTCAGCATCATAGAGTTAAAAATAATGAATGTTCTTAGTAATTTTAGATTTTTTTCACATTCTACAATAGGTTTATTGTTTTCTAATAAAAATACTGAAATTGAAAGAAAACGTCAGCAATTTTTTTTTGTTTCTTGTAGGTGCTAGGCATTGCGCAGGTATTTACATATAAATATATTTTTAAAAATCTTAATCATTTAGAGCTTATGAGGAAGAAATGAAAATTCTGTATAAACAATATACTAATTGTCATAAATTGTGCATTTTCTTAGACAGCAGAGAGAAAGTAATCAATTCTGCATATATGTATTAGCATGGAGAGATCCAAGAAGTTTCATAGAATGAGTGACCTATAAACTGTTTTCTTCAAGGTAAGATATAAATGAATTACTTAATGAACCATTGTGTTTAACATGAATGTTTTATAAACCATTCCACTCACTTTTATATTAAATATATGTTTGAGAAAGCAACCTGATAAATAGACTATTCATAATTTAAGGAATAGTTATCAAGTTAGGAAAGGAATAGTAATGGGGAGTGTTTTTATATGAAGTGTTTCCTCTTTTTCCCCAGGAAATAACATTAATACAAAATGAATGAATTGTCAGAAATGCCAAATTGATGCTTTTTTCAAAATGATAATTATTTTCTTAGAAATCAAGCTTATGACAGAACAATCCGATAATTTTAAAGACTGATAGGGCCTCCCCTGGTGGCACAGGTGGCTGAGTGCTGCGCTGTGAAGCTGTCCACAGCCTCTGCAGCGCCAGTTCTATCCCGCTGGCCGGCGAGGGTCCCACATGGTGTGGCAGAGCTCTTCTGTCTTGCCGGCTGCTCACTTCAGTGTATTTTGTCAGTCTGCCTATTCTGTTCCACTATCTGTCTGGTGAATCCTCTCACCCTCCCGCGCATCTGGTATGTGTTCCAGATCTTGTATAAATGAATTAATAAATCTTTAAAAAATAAAAAAATGATAGAATCCTATGAAACTAATAGGTAAATATTTCATTTATTCATTTTTTAAAAAAGCAAAAGTCAAAGCAAAGCATATATAGATTAAAAACAAAGGTAGAAATAAGAAAAGAGACCAGGGATGTGAAGGCCATTGTTTTCCTTTTCTCATCCTGATTTTTATGTGTGTGTTTTTGAAATGACATAGTAGTAAATTAGCAGATTATTTATTTTCTGTTCCTCATCTGGAAGTTTTGAAATCAATGGGATACACACACACACATACACACACACACACTCCGAGTGTGAGAGAAATAAAGTATATCAGTCCATTGATACCAAAACATTAGTCATTCCAACCCTGCATGAAATGTAAACAGCTTAAGTATTTCAAAAGTTAACTTTTGAACATATAAATGCTTAATGATTTATGCAACTTCTGATTTCAACAAGTAACTTTTCAGTTTTTTATTTTATTTTTTAAGATTTATTTTATTTATTTATACAAAGAAGAACTTGAGTGTTTCTAGAGGTGCAGGGGGTTGAGAGGACTCACCAGAGACAGAGTGGGAAACAGAACAGGTGGATCTATTGAAATACAATGCTGAGAGGAGCCGGGGGCTAGACAGGAGAGGTCTGCTGTGCCATGTGAGTCAGCTTCCTGGCTGGTTATCAAGCTTAGGCCACAGTGGTGATAGAGTGAGAGTGCTGAGACTTAACCCCTATATCACCAGGGAAGCCCTAGTGACTTTTCAATTTTAAAGTGCTTAAATAAGAAAATCTTTGTTTTAACTGTGAATACATCATAAATAATTTTATTAGTTTTACAGATGTTCCAAACAAATTTAATAGAATAGCAATTTTGATGGTCAACTAATTAATATGTAAAAGCCAAGATTATCCAATATGAAAACATAATCTAGTCATCTAGACCACGTCATCAATTATTGTGATGTGTCTGGCAAGTCTTAACATTTAGATCATCAAGAAAAATCTAAGATATTCAGGAAGGGATAGGATGGGAGGGAAGGAGGAAAGTAGGAACAGGAGAAGGAGAGCATGTCCAGTGTGGCAGAGGAATGTGGGCACTTTGGTGATGGGAAAACTTTGGTGACTGTAACTGCAGGGAGAAATCCAACATTTGAAAAAAAAATAAACAAGGATTTTAAAAAATATTTTTTTAGAAAAAGAAGTCTCAAAGTTACCATGTCGTGAATTAGAGTCTTTTCTTCAGAAACTAAAGGCTTTGAGAATGAAGGGACTGCAAAATGTGAATGTGCTTGGGGAGATACTAGGTATCTGTCAACATCTAGGTCATAAAGATGAGATATCTGCAACAATAAAGAACAAATCATCATAGTTGTTTTGTAGAGAGTGCACCTGGTTTGTATTTGTAATGATGTTCATCATGAAAAACTTGTTTCAGAATTAGTGCTGGTTCTCCAGGTGTCTTTTAACTGTATTTGTATATTCTTTGCATTAAATGTACCCTTGGCCAGGGCTGACAATGATAATTTTCTAGCTATTAATGCAATCTAGCAAACAAATTTGGGATAGAACATACAGTCTGAGGAAACAGTATATTTAGATCTATGCTCTATATCTCTCATTAGACAAGCTGTTTATATCACTAGATATAGATAATTATTTGATGATTATTTGAATTTTTTTCCACATTAAAAAGGAAGGCTAGAATCATGGATAGTGTGAGATGAGAGGTTTAAGAAGGACGGACTGCAAAATCCTCTGAAATACTACAGAGCTATATGTAGAGAACTTGAGAAGATAGATAATTACATATTACATAGCCCAACTAGGGACTTTGTTACCAAATAATAAAAAGTTGATATGTTTGTAATAGACATGGTGGACTTCATCTTAAAGACAAGAAGATACTTTGAAAGATTTTAAATAAGCAGTACAAACAAATCTGTGTTTTGAACTATGTACTATATATTCTTATATCAGTTTTAATAAATAAAAATAAATTTAAATTGATTTTTCTGACTTAATCTGCAATATATCTATAATATTGAAATATTCTTAAAACTATGAATTATTTTACTGAAGTATAGTATTCACAAATTATAAAATGAGCCTCCATATGCCACTATTATAAAAATATTTTTCACATGTAATGTAAACACACAATTTATGTAGAAAAAATAATAAGTTGAATATTTCCTAAATATTTGCCATACTTTCTTATACTCCTCTAACTAATTAAAAGTTAATAAAAGTCAAAAATAATTTGTATTTGCAAGGAATAAATCAAAGGGAAAATATCAATGTCCTAATTATATGAAAATCTTTCAAGTTATGGTTAGAAATTGTGTTTCAGTATCTGGGAGGACAATATAAGATAAATAAAAATAGTGAATAGGATATTTGGGTGACAGGAGCAAATGGCAAGCCTAACTTTAACAATAATAGTAGAGAGTTTTCCAGGAAGTTGAATAATAGTATAAACAGGGAAGTTGAAAATATATTTTTCTATATGAGCACAATTTTTTCAAGAGCTGCTGTCAAACAATGACTTACATTAAAGTGGAAAAAAATATTGTGAGGAAGAGAGTAGTGATTTGAATGTGGGATAAGCACAGGCCACTGTGAGTGAGTGGGTTGGGGTGGAGAAGTAAGAAAATCAGGGAAAGAAAATCTCCCTCACTTGATTGCATTTATTTATTATTTATAGTAGTTTTATTTTTTTGGTAGAGTCTTGTATTTTCTACGTATATAATTGCGTCATCTGAAAATTGTGATCATTTCTTTTCCAGTGTGATTCCTTTAAAATTTTTTCTTGGCTAATTTTTCTGGCTAGAAATTCCAATATTATGTTGGGCAGCAGTAGTGAAAGTGCACATCCTTTTCTTGTTCCTAATCTTAGTGGGAATACTTCAATTTTTTACCATTGAGTATGATGTTGGCATCACATTGACTATGTCAAATATGATTTTATTATGTTGATATAAGTTGCATATGTTCCCACTTTATTGCAATTTTATCATAAATGGGTTTTGAATCTTCACAAATGTTTGGGGTGTTTTTAGCATTTATTGAAATAATTATGAGATTTTTATCTTCTTTTGTGTTGATCTGGTGAATGATATTAATGTTTTTCTAAATATTGATTAAGGGCCTCCCCGGTGGCACAGTGGTTGAGCGCTGGGTTGCGAAGCTGCCCGCGGCCTCTGCAGCGCCGGTTCGATCCCCGGCTGCTCCCCGGCCACCAGAGGAGGGTCCCACATGGCGCGCAGACCTCTCCTGCCGCCCGCTGCTCCCCTCAGCAGTGTACTTCAGTCCTTCTGCCTGCTCTGCTCCCCGCTCTGGCTCTGGTGAATTCTCTCACCCTCCCGCACTTCTGACTGTACCCAGCGCATGTATAAACAAAAACAAACAAACAAATAAATAAAT